TGTTCTGAATGATTACGTATGTACAATATCTTAAAAATAACTTTTCTCGTGATTAATTTATTTTTTATTTTTTTTAGTAATTTTTCTGCATGGCTATATCAGATCTTTCAATGGATTTTAAAAGTAGTTCACTGACTGCTAAAGAATCCACAGCATGTAAATCAAACTTATTTACACCTAATTTCTTTAAGAAATGCACCGAAGGGGTGTTTAATATTACTTTGGCCTGGTTCCACTTTAAATAGCAGTAGAGCGCTGATGTGTTTAGTTGCCACGCCTCTCGAAGCTCTTCGGTGGTTACTTTCAGTGGGTTAGTGTCTGGATAGCCCCATGAGCTCGTCTCAGCTGCTTGATAAATTCCACTGGGTGTGGTGTAGGAAGTTGATTTATGCTTGCTAATGAACTGATTGCGCTAAAACAAACGCATACCTAAGTCATCATAGAACTTTAATAGTTCGGTTAATAGTCACTAATGTGTCCTTCAGAGAATACAGCATTATATTCATCATAACAATGGAGTTTCGCAATATAAAAAATCATCTTCATTTGTTAAATGTCTTATTACTTGTGCAAAGGAGTCATCACAGCTTAAATAATATTACGAAAATCAAAATCAATTTTTGCAAAAAGCGATGAATAGCGGTTGTTTCCATTACATAATTTGTCAATTTGTCCACATCAAGCTCAATCAGCATGTTATTCAGGTGTAGCATAAACTTGTCAATGAAAAAGTACCCGAAGACTATGATTTGTTTAACTTAACTTTGACCCTCATTTTTAGATGTAGTCTGAAGTAATGTTAGATCGCAGCAGTCACATAACAAATAGTTTACGTGACCATGTCACTCTTACATATATAAACGTTCTGCTTACCTTCCGGTTAGAACTTATACCAATGGCCAATGCGCGATTGAGAAAGTATTTCAGTTTTTTAATGTGGGCAACTTCACTACGCATAAAATTTAATCGTAGGTGTGTGCATGATGCCAAGACTTTAGCCACTTCAAGATTAGGAAGAACATTTGGAAGGTAAGTCACATTTGAGCTAGTGTTAGAAATCTACCTTTCCAGCGATGCTTTGCAGTCGTTTTAAAAACTCGACGATTCGATGCTTGGCTTTGACAGTAAAATCTACGTCGAACATGTTAACTGGGTCATTAATTTCCCACCTTTTGCAAAAAGAAATCTTTATCTGTCTAGACTAAGTTTGTGAGTCATTTTCGAATATCTACTTCTGCTAGTGCATTGATTGTTTTAAGCATGATGACAGCGACATTTTCTAAGGATATTAAAAAAATATTCGATGTTTGGAAATCCGTGCACATTGCACTCAAATTTTTAATGGAAAACATCCTAGTTTAGATTGTCAGTTTAAGAAGTTTTTTTTCAAATTCATTGCAAATTCACAGAGAATTTTCGATTATCATTTCTTCTTTGAAGTTTTGCTACATGCAGAAAGAGTTCCGTAAATTTGCGTTTTTTTGTTAAATGAAATTGTAAGACTTAAGGGTGGTTAGTAAAATTAGGTGCCTATTAATTTGTCTAAAGTGCGCTAAAAATCTGAGGAATTTGCTGCACCATTAAGAGGGACTTAAGATTAATACCTGATAGACAAGATTCATGCACGCAACTAATAATCTTTATAGCGCTACCAATATTGAACAAACTGATACCGCAATTTTGAAATTCTATGATGGGATTCAAACCAAAGATTGATGCGATGAAAACTACCACAGTACGAACTGAAAATTTACGGAGCATTTTACTCTAATTGGTTGCTGATAATATTCACTCAATACCACCAAATAATAGTCCACATCATTTTTTATCTGAAATTATTCAAATTGCAGAGCACTGTACATAGTTCTAATTAAGGCAGGGAACAAAATACTTTCGGCTTCCAAACCAGAACTCAAAAACCAAGGAAAGGTGAATTTCCCTAAAACGTACATGGCCGCCATGGGGGTGTAAAATAAGAGCTAGAGAACATGACTAATTGAAATTTACTGCACGCAATCATCCGTTGCCGGATTTTTTAAGTTATTTACGGCTAGGATCACAGGTAAGACATTTAAATGCAGCGGAAATTCCTTGGTATAAAAACTGCATGGCACTCTCGCTAGCTAAAAAAATACTTAGCTCAAGTGTTATCTTTAATACTTATGCAGAAGTATCTTGACTAGAAAAACCATCCGTGCACACACTAATAGACTAAATTGCTTTTTATTCCACAAATATCTGCTAAGCCAATCAACCCTGCACTTGTTCGCACATTTAGTTCCCTAATTACCCCAATCATTTTTATGTAGATAGACCAGGAACATCTGTGCATACCATGGCATTAAACTGATAATCTATTTTAGCATCATTTTCCCTGACCTTAAAATATACACAAACACAACAAACGGAAATGGTTTTAGGGGGTTACTAACAAGACAAGTTTTCGCGTATTAGAGTGGTTCCATGGTCACAGCGTATGCTCAGATTTCAAATAGGGTCCAAATTGATTTAGCCTCTCGTTTTTAACCAGTTCACATTTCGTAGAAATTAACATTCTTTAGTTATGTTTGAAAGTCAGTTCTGGGGAGCTTATATTTCGTCGTCTTCAAATGGAACTCTGCTCACATGTTTGTAGTGTCTAAATGCTTAAGGTAAATTTTGCTGCATCATGGTTGCCTTTTTAGAAAAATGTGTGAAAAGTACGTAGAACCATTAATTCGCTCAACGACATTCCACAAGCAAATTTTAACAGTAGAAGATAGCAAAAAATTCACATAAGAAAAATTTCTAGAGCCACAAAAATATTAATGCGTACCTAGACCACTTAAAATCTTATTTGATCCTTTAGGTCTGTGAGGTTATACGCAGTTAAATTTTAACCTCAATCGTTTTAGTAAACGCAAGATAATAACTTATGAAAACATGGCCTATGGCTTTGCACACCATGGCAGTCATTCTAATCTGTGCGTTAGTTATATAAAACAGGTAGTCAAACATTTTTAACCGAAATTAGCTGCCACAGACACCCACTGTGCTATAATAGATGGTCTCACAGATTAAAAATTTCGTGCTTGGCCTATTTAGAAACCAGATACCTTATAATAACTGCACCATAATCAAAATTTTTTATTTGTATTTTGAAAACATATATTTCGCAAGTTAAAATGAGATCCTAAGTTGTATTTCGTTCATTTTTACGAAATAGAGAATTACGGGTGCCGACTGGTTGCTAACATAAAATTAATAATTGTTTAAACATTCTTATTATGCATGTGTTAAAATAATTAAAACTTTGAAATATTTAACTATTTAATCTACGGGGAAAAACACAAGAATGTAATATATTCAGGAAAATATATGCAAAACGCTTGCTTATTAGTAAACTTGCCCAAATACAAAGAATTAAAAGTAAAAATGGCGCTATTACTCATGAAGACTACTATTCTTTTATAAGCGTAAATTTTTCAAAAATACCTCGGATTTAGAGAATAAAGTTTGCTCTGTAATTATTAATAAAATGGAAATCAAAATACGTAATAGATAATACACAAAATCTTCAGGACAATTAAATATTTTCTAACAAACACCTACCACCAACCCAACTCCAAATATTATTAATCTGCTCTGCGATTTATATTATCGCTGAAGCACATATCGACCTCGAAAAACCTTAAACAAAACAAAGTAAGTTCTATAAAACAACACAAATCTAGAATTGTTACAATTTATATTTGTTTTATTTAAGCTTCAATATGCATATCACAGTCTAAGGGCAATTTAAAACACTCACTAATGAGATAGTACAGCTTAATTAGCTAACTTCAATAACAAAAAACAAAGCACGCTTTCAGCGTCAGTAAAATTTTACACCCCGATATTAATAGCATTTAATAGACGAAACTTTGGCACATATTTAATTTCAAGCCGTTATTATTTTGATGTTAACCAGTTACCGTTGAATGACCAAACCCTTAAATCAATTATTAGAATAGCCAGGTATTGGCGTAATTTGTAGTTTGGCAAAAGAACCTATCATTAACATATACGGATATCTTTATTTAAGTTCAAATCATATTATTTTGAATTTTTCCATCCTGTAGAATCTACACAGCTCTTTTCTAACTGTTTGTTCTTACAACAATCGTCATTGCACGTTTTATGAAGGAAAATGGCGGATTTAGATGGCTTGCTTAAATGATAGAAAATTCTATGTAAGCGCAATATTTATTTTCTTTTTAATTCTTGATCGTACTTCGAAAAAATCTATTACGCAGCTTCTGGTATTGCTCAGTAATTTTCTAAGAAATTCGCGTATTCTATAAATTGACTCTACGGATTACTTGCTAGTCCTTTTCAGATCTTTTTGCACAAATGAAATATGCTAATGAAGAATATTGCTTAAAAGATTAATAAATAATAAGGATTTATAGAACAAATCTCGAAAACAGTCGGTTTTATTAATTTGTGTTCGACGTGTACGTTGACGTGGTTTTGGTTACCGCGATGAATAAAGTGTTCTGCGAATTTCAGTAACACTAAAAAATTAAAAAAATAGCCTAATTGGGTGTTTAAAAATATTTTTGCTAAGTTATCAAAGCTTTTCTTTTTGACCACTGCTTTGCAATCAAAGCCTCATAGCAATAACTTAGAGAACTATTTCTACATCATTTGTCTAATCATGTAGGACCGATCCTAAGCTTCCGCATTTCAGTTCACCTTAAATTACGAACACATTAGCCGTACCTTTTGCTTTGATCAAATAGTGCCACCTCGCCGTTCCACGGTTGTCATATCACACTTTGTAGCCACTGTTCCAATTTTTGAAAAATGAACCTAATAATTGTTTTTTTAAAAAAAAGTAGGCTAATTATGGTAGTGCAAAACTTAATTAAATTCGTTGTCACATCTTACACAAGCCGTTTTTCAAATAAAATTTGTTTTAGTTCGCTTTTTTTGCTGCTACGAACGCGCTACCCAACGTGATTTGGTAATTTTGTGCGATGTCGTCAAATGCTGCGACTGCTTTATCGTTGGGTGGTGAAAGAATAAGTGGAGAAAGTGTGCGTAAGCAAAATGGTATGTTGTTATTTTTCCCACCATAACAGGCTATTTCAGTTATGGCTGCGGTTTCTATCGCAAACATTGTAAAGTCTAGCCTCGGTCCTGTCGGCTTAGATAAAATGCTGGTTGATGACGTCGGGGACGTCACTATCACAAATGACGGGGCAACTATTCTAAAACTTCTCGATGTGGAACAGCCTGCAGCGAAGGTCTTAGTGCAACTTGCACAACTGCAGGACGACGAAGTTGGTGACGGTACAACAAGCGTTGTTATTTTGGCTGCTGAGCTTTTGCGTAATGCAGATGAATTAATTGCTCAGAAGATTCACCCGACTACGATTATGAGCGGGTATCGACTTGCATGTCGCGAGGCTTGTAAATATATTCAAAGTAATCTTGTTTTGGATTCGGAGGCCCTTGGCAAGTCTTGTCTGATCAACGCAGCTAAGACATCGATGTCTAGTAAATTGATAACATTGTGAGTTAAATTACATTTGTTTTCTTATACAATTGATGTATAATTACATGAATCGTCTCTATTTGGAGTTCGATTGTTTCATCGACTATGGTGTTGTTCACATCATTCGATGGTGTTTTGCTCCCAAAATTCCACCTTAGATGGTATCAACTCCGCAACGCCTCTTTACTATTTGGGACTGTATTTGTTTCTACATCATTTGTAAGTGTACAAGTCAGCTATTTCTACACGTTATAGGACGTGATAGTTGTGCTCTTCAGGGCCTTGAAAGTGATATACGTGAAGTTAGCTTATTCGCCTCAATGACTGATGTGTGCGTTCGTCACAAGTTCTATGCAAAAGTTCTGCTTAGAAATGTCACAAGTTGTATCATGTTAACGTTTACTTTTGTTCAATATTTGTAGGGATGCAGAATTCTTTGCAAATATGGCTGTGGATGCAGCTCTCGCTGTCGCTGTACCTGACGGCCGTGGGGGGTTTGTTTATCCCACCAAAGCCATTAACGTTTTGAAGGCACATGGTCGTTCGATGAGAGAGAGTATGCTTATTAATGGCTATGCTCTTAATTGCACCATTGCTTCACAGCAAATGCCACGACAAATCAAGAATGCAAAGATTGCCTTCCTCGATTTCAACTTGCAAAAGGTCAAGTTAAAACTCGGCGTTCAGGTGCTTGTAAGCGACCCCGACAAACTCGAAGAGATACGTAATCGTGAGGCAGACATCACTAAGGAGCGGATACAAAAGATACTTAATGCCGGTGCCAATGTTGTTTTCACAACTGGTGGTATCGATGATCTTTGTATGAAGTACTTCGTTGAAGCCGGTGCTATAGCTGTAAGGCGGTGCAAGCGTGTTGACCTAAAGCGCATCGCCAAGGCTACTGGTGGCCAGCTCATCGTGACTATGTCAAATATGGATGGTGAAGAGACCTTTGAGCCATCATTCATTGGCGAGGTATGTTTGTTCATATTTTTGTGAACATGTGACTACACAGCGGAATGTAAAAAGGATTTATATTCATGCGCCACTCGTTTTGTATCATGACAAGTCGCAAATGGTCATACTTAATAATTTTACTAGGTTTATCGTTCTTTTTACAGGCCGGTGAAGTTGTTCAGGAGCGTATTTGCGATGATGAGCTAATTCTCGTGCATGACCCGAAGGTTAGGTCTGCAGCCAGCATCATCCTTCGCGGCGCCAACGACCATTACGTTGATGAGATGGAGCGTTCGTTGCACGATGCACTTCAGGTTCGCTTGCCGTTAGTTGCACCCGTTATGTTATATCTGTTCACGGCTCTTGCACCAATCAAGAACTTTCGGATAAAGTTGTAGTTTTTTGCAAAAGCATTTCTGTCTTGCGTCCCTTGGTATGCGTGTGATTTGTCTTGCCAATTTCTTCTGTTATTGGAACTACTCTGTTAACATGCTAATGTTTTGTATTTACAGGTTGTAAAACGAGTGCTGGAGAGCAAGTCTGTTGTGCCGGGCGCTGGCGCTTGTGAGACAGCTGTCTCTATATTTTTAGAAAACTTTGCAATGACGATGGGTTCTCGCGAACAGTTAGCTGTCGCCGAATTCTCCCGCTCTATGTTGGTTATTCCAAAACAGCTAGCAGTGAATGCAGCGCTCGATAGTACTGATCTCGTCTCACGTCTACGTGCGTGCCACAACACGAGCCAGATGAAGCCCGAAAATGCAGATATGAAATTGTGAGTTTGAAAAACCCTTTTTCAATATAGGTTTATTCTGGTTAAATGCTTGGCTATGTTGTATACCTAAGTACCATCCTGAAGAGAGTACGTGGAAAGTGCCCTCATGGTCTGTCATTTAGAATTCATGACCTTGTGAAAAATTCAGTCTAAGGTAATAGCATGGGTGGTTATGTACGGCCGGATAGAAATAACAACCACTTTTTAAATACCTATGTGATTACCATTACAGAAAAATGCGCTGATGAAGGTTTAAAAACCTGTACTCGCCAAAATCACCAGTTGGTTTACTGATTCATATTCCGTCTATTCAAGAAAACATTTGCACATAGGAAGTGAGGTTCAAGTAACGCCAAAAATGTAATCCCACTCATAAACTCACATTTAGTCGTTTAAACTGGCTAAAGTTTACCTAGTAATAAATCTGGTGATTTGAAGTTTACATTTTAGAAACCATTCCGAGTCGTAATCAAAGTAAATATCGCTGGTGCCGTTTATCAGGTACTAGGCAATTTTTTCCACCTAGCTTTAAAATATTTATAGGTGGAAAATTTCAATTTCGCCAGTCCTTATGCTTTATTAGTCAAAAGGACTTTTGTTCTCAAATTTGGTGGACCAAACGGATTATTTTGATTGGTCTAATCTAACTGAAAGGAACCTATAAAATAATCGGAAACTCCGGACATTTTTGTTCGGTAGCTATGCATATATGCATTTTACTAAAAGTGCAGCTTTTTGAATTTCCAAAAAAAAACTTTGGAAAGCTATCTATGTTCATTTTCACCATATTCATGTACTTGTATTACTCAAGATTCAATCAAAGGTCTTACCAGTTACAACTTGCGCATTCCCGGCGCGATTTATATCAAATTAACGTATTTATTGCAGCTGGGGACTTGACTTGCAAAGAAATTGTATTTCAAACTGCAAGGATCTTGGCATTTTCGAGCCGCTAGTGTCGAAGATCAAAAGTTTGAAATTCGCTACAGAAGCAGCGATCACAATTCTGCGCATTGATGATCTTATCAAATTGAAGGAGGAGAAACCAGTCGACGAACACGATCGATAATGCTTCCGTTGCCAAGTAGCATTTAAAGTTATGAGCGAATGCTCTATTTGCTCCATTTTGCTCTATTTCACTTTACAATAAAAATTGTTCAAAGTTTTTCTTATGCTTTGAACGTGTCAAGAATGTTTTTTGTTAAACAAAAAAAGGTGTTCAAGCTGGCATACACTACTTTCGCCTGTTGGTGTTCGGTGACTGAAAACTGTAACAGCTGCTTGTGTAGCATTTCGGCAATGTACGTGTATTATTTGAGACAGTCGTTAGTCTACTGTGTTGTTCAGCCACTTGGCAGTTAGTAAGGACGTCATTAACGAAGATCAGTGTTAAGCCCCAGAGACGTTGTGCGTAATTTCTTAAATTTGCGACGCCATTAGTGTCAGTGACCAGTTCGACTGGAAATCATAATGGGTTTTGATTTATTGCACGATCGAAAATCTTTGGGAGTAGTTGCTCGTTCGAATTGGGTAAATACTTTTAGCCCTTTAGCGGCTGGAGGTTCAAATTCTCGTTTATGTTTTTTAGGTAGCACGGCTCTGCAACTTCAAGTTGAAAAGTTGATCGCTGTGGCTAAGGGTGCGCACATGTCTCAATGCTTTTTCAGCCTGTGCAAACGAATCGACCAAATTCATAGTCACGATCATAGGGCATTCCTGTGTGTCGGATGTTTTTCAGTGTGGGTCATGTTCACGATTGAGACAGCCAGAGAGGGTCTCGAGCATCTTTCTTTGGACTCTGAAATTTAGTGTTTAAGTTACTACGATTCGGATTATTTTTTGCTATCGACCTGATTTAACAACAGATCCTGAGAACCAGAATGGTTGCAGAACTTAGGACATTACACACAATAGTGATTACGTAACTGGCCATACTTTTTGACTCGTCCGCCTTTCTGTGAGAATGGGGTCAATATGCCCCAACCAGATAGGCAACGTGTAGTCACGACTCTTGCACACACCTGTCATTCAGATTATCTGATACCGGAAGTGCTTCCCCATCTTACATACTTTTAAGGGGTGTCATCTGAGAACATTAGCCACAACACTCAACGAAAGTACGCACGCATATAATCTACGTGCAACTATCGAGTCAAATTGGACTTGGAAGCAACTTGAAAGTTAACCAACAGAGTAGAGTTAAGAATCCAGATTTGGTAACCTGAGATTTGCACATTAAGCACAGGTTATGACGCCTTCAGAGGTAAACTATGAATTGTGACGCCGTAAATTTCCGATTAAAAGGTAGCCCATGACAACGGTTCCTGACAATTTTTTTGCATTTGTGACACCGGCGGCGTTTGTTCAACCAGCTGACATAGAATTTACGTGGCGTAGCTCAGTAAAGTGGGTGCTACCCGACTTTCAGCTGGATAAGATCCCAAATCACAGGAATTGTCACGAATTAAAAAACGAGCCCTTCGAGTGGGGAGAAATGACCATCAACGTGTTTGTAGTGACATCACTGAAGCCCAACATGGTCAATGTGTGTACTTTAGAACACGACGCTAATCCTGTAATTTGGCATAAAAAAAGCGCCACTTTAGGTAAAATTTGTTGGAAAATCACTCAACAGTAGTCACCGTGTACTGGACTACAAGCCAAAGGTAGTTAATCCGATTAGCGGTTGTGACTTGATTTCTCGGGGATTTGAAGTAGTTATGTATCCAGAGGTTGGGCACTCGGGCTATAAAAAAGCACTGAATGATTTCTAGTCGTGATCCAAGCCTATCTCTGGAGGTAATTTTGAGTTATTTATTGCGGTCTTTCCCCAAGAATCACACGTTTGTCATTCAACTCTGAAGTCAAATTATTTAATTCCTACTCTTAGTAGGAAAAAGCTGAGTTAAAATAGCTTTGCGTCAGAACCTGCAAGCGTTCCAGATTCAAATAAGTGCAGAGCCATTGAACGGTCAAATGTTTACAAATTACGTAAAAATCCACAAAAGGTGGGTAGAATTTGAAAATGACGGGACAACAGTCGGTGCAGGGAGATCAAGACATGATGCACAGCCAAACCTCCGACGTGTTCACTACCACAGCACACTTCTGGTTAATAAATTTTCAGTCGTCAATGCTTGATCAAATGTTAAAATCAGTTGCTTAACAATGTGTGGGTCAGCTTTCAACCGATAGTTAACTACCCTGGGTCTCGGTAAACCAGCGTGAAGTGAGATAAGAATGAAAAAAAACACATTGGATTCCATGCTTGCATAAAAAAGTAAAACCCCACCTAATACTGATTATATCAGTTATATTCTCTCAATTTTTCAAAACCGTTTGGCGACCATTAGTCGGCAAGGCATCGTCTTTAACCGATTTTACCTTACTGACTCAATGTCCTCGTACTTTTACTGTGATGTCACATATATTCAAAGGCACAAAGTGCAACAAGCATATTTGATGGAGGCTACTTACTGGGACAAAAAGTACAGCAACAATGCCGTTATGCCTAATGAAGTACAAAAATAGGCTAATGAGATTACATGTAAAGAAGCGATGGAAATTAAAGTACAACGATTGTCATGGGTGAGAAGAAGAATGATCTGTGTCTTATACAGTCAGAAGATGATACTTGTCATTGAGTCACCAGGGCAGGAGTTTCATGATTGGCTAAAGAAAGAAAGAAACTTAGCAATGTAGAAGCAGTGACTGTAGAGTTAATTAGATCCAAACCAGTCGACTAAAGTGCTAATCAAATGGGGAAGTATGAACCCGGAAATAACCTCTAGTACAGGCAAAATTATAAAAAGGTATCGGCTGCGACTGCAACTGAAACTTCTAAGTAAACATTGGACAAGTAATTAAGCTTGCACACAACTATAGCACGGAGCGAAATTCGTGCATTACGGTTTCGCTTCGTTTTCAAATCGCCACTGTCTCGAATTGGTTTTACTAAATGTGGCTAAAAGGCATTATAATTCAGACAACCACCTCCACATTATAACAGATCGGTTTTCATTATCTGAAGATAATTAATCACATTGAAGACACGACAATTACAATAGACAGCTCATCTCGAAGCTGCTCCAGAAAACAGATAATGTGGGATGTAATTTGTTTGCCTTAACTCACCAGTTTGAGACATTTATAATCGAATAAAATATTGCTAAGTTGGCAGCTACTTGCGAATTTGAAAGCCATTAAACATACCAAGACCTTCATTTTTTTGGAATCGACCACACTTTCTCCTGCTTCGTCAGCTGATTGATTTACATTCAGCGAATATCAAAATTGGTTTTCAAAGACTTCAGAATCAGAGAAAAAGGCGAACTGCTGGAAACACAGGAGGCTACGAGTTTGCCTCAAGAGTGGGGATTGGGCGACAGTCGGAGATAACATAGGGACGGCGGTCAGCAGATCGGACCGAATGGTTTGTGAGAGATAGCTGAAGGTCCTGTCGAGACTCTCATTTGAGCAAAGAAGGTCGGCTAGTTTCTCTGTGTGCGCTGTGCCCTTTTCAAGTAACCCCGTCAGCATGTCGTCAAAGGAATTGAGTTTAGTCACTAACTCAACGGACACGTTGGAGGTGGTTGGAAATCGCCGAATTAAGCTGCTGCATCTGAAACAGTGGGTGACTAAGTTTTAATCATGAATATAAGCACCTACAGATTCCTACTTCCAAGTGAATTGTGTGTGATCAAACGAGGACATAACTTTTCGGGGAAAAAGACTGCATTAATTAAAAATGGCAAATACATAACAAAGCAAACTATCGAGAAAGTAAATTTCTCAATTCGAGGAGTTAGGCTCTTCCTATTTGTCATAAAATTAATTATAACTGCCTCTGGATGTAAATGACTTCGAAATGTTAACATTTGTGAGAAACATGATGGTGTAGCCCCATATAACACCATAGAACCTGTGAGAAGTATAGAATTAACCTAACCATAATAAATGATTTTTGTTGGTGATCACAGAAAATCGGCAACTTGTTTCTTATTGCCTCATCATATAAAAGATCACCAGGAACGATTGGGAATAAAAGTACGAAATATGAAGGCACAATACAACCACTCCAATCAGGTTGGATGATTTGAAAAGCCCAGAGTAAGAAAAGGGACTTATGCATTTTTAAAAGACAGGAATCAATCAAAGGAAGCGGCAAATTTGGGAATTAGTAGTAAAGACTAACTTTAATAACTTTGTACATATACTCCCCAGAGGTTGTTAAGGGAACTGTATGAAGCCCCTTTTACATTTACAGACAAATTTGAAAGTGCATTCAAGTGCACAAATTGAGACAAGTGAAACTACTTCACTATGAATTTGAAATTGAAAAAGGTAACCGATAGGATATCCGCATCACTAAAGGGGACCTGCGTACTTAAGACAATTACAAGTAATTAATTTCAGGTAACCTAAGTTGTCAAACGCAGCTAAATAATGAGTTGCATTTAGCAAATTCTAGGTTTTCCTTAGCGATCGGATACATCCCAGTATGAAATCTGATTTCATTAACATAGACCGAGCGCTGTGAACACATGGTTACGTGATTGTGAGTGGTCTAGGGAAGTAGTTTTAAAAGTGACAAGTTAACAAGTAAATGAGATGTCTAATTCCTTTGTAGTAAATCAATATTTGCAATAGAAAAACTTACAGAAAAATCAGAGACCTGACAGCTGATAACTGCAGAGTTGTTGATGCCACGAGTAACTTCAGCGCCTGGGACAAAACCAGGTGGATCGCGGAAGTTGGAGACAGCCACTGGGGCATAAGGGTCAGAGACCGTGAAAACAACCACCATGACCACAACTTGTTTTTACTTTCATCTGATACACATTCCGTTTTTGCAGCATTTTCATCAAAACCCGAAATTATTGTGTAGAGAGCCAAAGGCAAGTTGGATACGTAAGAATTGAGCACAGCACCGCGACAGGCGGCGCAACCAGGAACGGCAAGAGAACGGCTACCAAAGGAAGTCTTGTAGAAATTTGCTTCCAATGGATTCGTGAGCTCGCAGAGCAAATTTCGAGACGGGCTTTTAACGATGGTGGGAATTGGGAGGGAGGCAGGCTGTTCACTAACGACTGAATCAACGTTTTGTCTGGATAAGGACCTTTTTCCTTTTCGATGCAAATCCGTTAAAGCAGAAGAACTCGGACTGTGGAGAGCGCCATTAAAAGCACGAGGCTTACGATGAATAAAACAAGAAATGAATCCTACAAAAATAAAACATTCTCTAACACTTCGGTAAAAACAAGTTATTTTCTATCAAACATGACTTTGCAGCAAAGCAAAACTAATGACAAGGCGTCAATCAAGAGCAATAATAGAAAGAGGATTAGTTACAATAATTGTTACGACTTGGGAGCCAAAAACTAATATGACTTCTTAATTTGCAGTGTGTAATTATTGACGGTATAAAACTAAGCACTCCTGATGCTAGGAAAATACGATGGAATAGGAAGTCATATCACCTTACCTCGAGTAAGCAAAAACCTCAAAGCATCATCGTAACCGGTGGAAGCCAGTCGGGCCAGGTCGCTGGAACTCATTGGCACGACAATATTAATCGCACGCTTAAAATTCATCCAATTTAGAATGATACTAGTTTGCGAAAGAAATATATGTCCAGCGACTGTCGCCTGTTCACTTGGATCCCAAATATCGTCGCGTGGGCAGATGTCAGCGTCTCCGCAAAAAGGACTCACAGTAATTGTATTTTTATCAAGGCCCGGCAAGTTGTCGGACATCGCCCCGTCAATAAAATACTAAAAAAATTACTCACAGGTTGAAAACCTACATCACCTTGGTAAGTTGGAGCGATAAAGCCTCCAAACACAGGAATGAAAGAAGAGCACAATATAGCTCGAATCAAATCGTTCCGATCTTTGAAGTTACTCACAACGACGTTTTCTCCCGAACTTTGACGCGTAATGGAGATAAACAGGCGACCAGAGCAAAGAATGTGAGCATCCGAAGGCAAAAGACGTTCTAGTCCTTCCTGAATATACTCGGTAATTTTAAAACGTGGGTCAAAAGCACCCAAGCGGTATTCTCGAGATTTATTTATTAATCCCATTAAGTACCGCGTACAAGACATTAAATCAACGTCGCATACTAAGAAAGCGGCAGCAATTGCTCCAGAACTAGCTCCAGAAACGGGTCGATTTAAATAAAGTTGGGGGGCGAAACGACGAATACATGATATAACCCCCACGTGATAAACACCTAAGAACCCACAACCGGCAAAGGACAGATTATAATGTAGACTTGAACGGTCTCTATAATACCGACCAGAAATATTGGAAGTCGCCATCCAGAAAGGGCAGATCTCGGAAGGAACCCAAGGGACTTATAGTGTGCGATAGGCCGGATGAAGGTCAATGAACGCGTAACTACATAGGTCATTCAAAAACCTGTACTTGACTTAAACACTGAAAAGACAAGCTTGACAAACAATATTTTGTAGCATGCCTGTTGTTACAAAAAAGTTAGTTATCGTCAATATTTAGTTTAAACGAGATTGGAAATACGTAGAAAAAAAAACAGTGAACAACGAGACTGTTAACAATGAAGGCATGGAAACAGGTGTTTGAGCATGCCTACTAACTCTCTGTGGACATCAAAGTATCCACTTAGTTAAACACTGCTTTGTAATAATTTTTCTTCGAGAAATCTTTGTAGGGCGTCCCCAATCTCATGATCACAGCACTAAAACCATTGAAATGGCTGACGCCTCTTCCAATTGACACAGAGCTTGTTACAGTGAGTTCACTTTTGACAACAAGGAAATTACAAACCATATTTTAAGTATTTAAGCTTTCCAAATTGTGTGTTTGTTTGTATGTATGGAAGTGAGTCTATGTCTGATCGAGTCTATGTTAATTGGCAAATATTTAAACGTCTGAATGGCCAGCTGGATAAAATGATTATGAATGTTTTATGCATAAAGATGCATAAAAAGATGCTTATAGTTATTAAGGAAACGGGGTGTCTGGAATGTTAAGATTCTTCAAGACACCTTCGTTAAACTGAGATTAATAATTTAACCATTCAAATAAATTCCACTCGGTTGATATAAATACTTTATAACATGTTCATATCATTGTATAGTAAAATATTCTTCTTCATGCTACATGCGTCCACCTTTCTTAATTCAATTTTTTAAGTCACTAAAGGCATTAATGGATTGTTCGTTTCGAAATTTTAACCAAACATACAACTAAGGCAGATAATATATTTCCTTAATATCCAGTCCTTTTCTCGGACTCGATTTTTTGCGCGGATGCACTTATTATTTATACATTTAAGCGAATTTAGATTTGGGGAATTGGTTAGTTAACTAATAAAGCATTTCTAAAGAGTAAGATCAAATTCACCTACACTTCTTTCAAGGAATGTATTCACTAATATCAGAGATAAGTACTAAATTTAAAAGCATTATAATGTCGGACGATACTTTAGAGCTTACCAAAACGCGTTTGTAAAATATTTGCCAATTATCCCGGTAATTAGACATAAACTGTTTTTTCAGGTCGTACATATCGATAAAATGGACATAACTGCTTTGTTGGCATGCGTATATTATTGAATATTCATTGAATTCGCTATGACAAATGCACTTAGTATTCGAAGTCAGACAAAAGAATTTTTTCAGATATCATGACCTCAACATATTAATGACTTTTGCAGGTCGTTTATCATTTCAAGATGAATTGTACTCATCGTCCTATTATATTTGCCATATTTTTGACTAAAAAGTCAACCCGATTTGTTAAATGCAAAAAAAAACAAAATTCAGTGATTAAGGCTAGTAGATAACTAGAAATAACCTCAGTAATAATAAATTTAATAGTCTAGTTCCACCTATGCAGCAGTTCGTGGGAAATGCACTAACGCGATTGGCCATTAAAAGACACTATAACATGTCTAGTCTTGAATGCCAATTATATTTTTTTCTCTGCATTTCGACAAGAGAGGGTTTGACTTTTGCCTACAAGTAATATATTTATTTGTTAATTTAGAGGTAATTAATACGTTTTACACGAAATTAAGGATATTGAGGCCATTGATTAACAGTCCTACATCTTAATTAAACTTAAACTTAAAGGTCAATAATTTAGTTAAAAACCATCAGTACTTTTTAGACATTCAAAGAGTTAATTAATTTTTTTAGATACAGGTTACGATCAGGCTTTTCCATCTGCCACGTGCAGTGCAAGCAATGTTCATTGACTTTCTGAAGATCGAAAACGGGGTTCTTTTTACGACGTTATATCATTAAGTGCTTAGCAATGACCTAGAATTATATCGATAACACAAGTTTAGTTAGGCTTATTGTAAAATAGTGGTTTGTTTGTTTGGTAAAATACAAGTATACATTTATTTGTTTACTGCTGGGCTGTGTGAGAAAACGACATGTCACTGGCTTTGAAGGAAGTAGCATTAAAATTGGCACACAACATATAAATATAACTTTGGCATTTGCATAAAATTGTATTCGTTTCTATGGCTTATTACCCAAAATAAACCAATACCTATTCATTTGCAGGCTTATTAGTGCCTGAATAAGACGCGTTCAGTAAATTCAGACTTTAAAAATTCCTGAGAATCTGATGAAAAATTGCTGCCTTCGTTCTTATTTAATGTGTGGAGACTCGCAAGTTATTAACGTGTAAAATGATAATTTCTACCTACCATTAAGGTAATCATTACAGATGTCTGTCATTTCTAATGAAGTGCTCGTTCTTACTGGAAATGGCTTTGTTTGAAAATAGCAAAACCTTGTTACTTGATTCACAATATTTGTACAACAACGCTAAATATGTGCGAAAAAAATTACCAGTGCTTAATTCAAAGATTCTGTATTTCCGAATCACAAAAAATTGAATACATGTGAAACTTATGCACACTTCATGTTCGTTTGGTTTGCTACTGGCTGCTCTATTAAAAAGGGGTCTGATTCGTTGCCATGTCGACTGGAGACTGCAGTCCTCTAGTTATTTCCTTTTTACCTTCCGTAGCACTGGGATTAAACTACAAAGCGATTGCAGACAATCATATGATATAATATGAAATTTATTGTCATTTGGAGTTTAAAAATAACTTTCGCCTTTAAATGCACAGGTCATGGAGTATCAAAAGGATTTATGAAAAAACTAGGAAGAATTGTGGACATGGAAATTAAGTCACCTCTTACAAACCATCTAAGAACCTAATGTGAACTTGTTGTGATAAACTTTCTTTACAGGTAGAACATCCAATAAAATGACTTAAAAAGCTGTGCTTGATCTGCATTCAGAATAGTCTCGTAAGTGGACTGGATGGTTTGTACTACAAACCTCCTAGTATGTAGTTAAACTCACAATCTGCCTTGCTTTTCCTGGATTTCCTGAAGAAGTGCATGAATCTTAGGAAGAAAAATAAGATTAGTTTTTTTATGGCTGGGCTAAACACATGAGAGCAGATCCAAACACGTAGTTTGCAGAATCTAGTTCAGGTTAGAAAATGACCAAGCACTTTTTGAAATTCAATGACTATAAATGCTTGATAGATGTACCTTATTGGGCAATAATAAATTTCGCATCTTTCGATACCTATTTGTGCTTTAATCCAAGGAATCTCAAAGGATTTTACAGAAGCACCATTTGAAAAAAATATCTCGTTTTGCAGTAGATTATCGCGATAGCATGTGGGTGAAGTCTACTGAACTGACGGTGTCAATGACTCATCCCTCTTCCATTGGTTACTGCTATCAGACGCTGTCATCCGCTCACGCGCACGGCTGGTGTGACTAATAGAGTCTTATCTATTGTCGCTGTTTTGCCTCTCTTCCCGGGTTTTTAACTAAAGGATTGTAAGGTCGTACAAAGTAAACTCCTACAGTTTCACAAGTTTAATCGCATATAAGTAAATATGAATTTAGAGCAATTATCTTAATTTTCTGGCAATTTTATAGGTCGGAATGGATGAAAAAAGAAATGAAAGTCAATTTTCTCTTACCTCATCCGCCTGGATTTTAAGCCGTTCTTCCCACTCCAGTTTTTCTGCTTCACATTGGACTGCTCGAACGTGAAGCGCTTTAACGAGCTCGAGTAGTTGAGCTGCAAAGGACAAACATACGTTAACAGTTGCGAAGGACAAAGTGGGAGGTAATGGGGGGTCAATTTATTTAAGTCATCGTTCTCTTGCCAGATACCATCTAGGCATATTCTTTAAATATCAATTTTTAGGATTTTTTCAAAGTACTACTTCTAGGATCCATGTTGGCAGAGTTATCTGGTTTTCCTGCCCAGTCCGCACATTTATGCGGAGCTAAAACTAAGATCAACTTATAAAGTACGGTGTGCCGTGTAATTCAACCTAGAAATGTTAAGTGTCTTAGTGAATTCTAGTAACTCATGCCAAAAGCACAAACAAACCAATGTCGTAAAGCCAACATACCATCATCCATGTTGTCCGTGCAAATTGGAGGACAGACCTTTTTAAGGTGATTCTCCCGGGCACGCATTTGCTCTCTTTGTTCATTTCGGAATTCCTCCTTTGCTTTTTGCATTAGTAGTTGCTATATTTCCAAAAAAATAAAAATATAGAGGCAAAAAAATTCGTCTGACAAAAATTAGACCGACAGATTTGATCCTTTATGATTGTCATTTACCTTCAAGCGGGCACGTTTTTCACGAGTGAGACCGCCAAACTTCTTAATATTCTGCTGGTGCCTTAGTTTCTCTGACTGAGCCTCAGACAAATCGCGAAGAAGTGATTCTCGCCTTTTGTCCTTGGATTTGGGAAGCACGCACAACGTTTTTAGTATTGGGTATTCGAATTAAATTACTGGCCTTAGGAAGCACACTTACATTATTCTTTTGAATTCTAGCTATCATTACCTGAAAAGAAATGACTTGTGGTCAAATAATAGTAGCAAACCTTAAATTCTAATTACTTAAATTGGACTGCAATAAACTGTTTGCACATGCACATTGAATCAGACACTTCCAATCGTATTTTCTCCAAGAAAAAACTGAAAAATATTTGGGATCTCCTTGATTAGTTGGGCTTAACAAACTAAAACGAGGCGAACTATGAGGTAAATTAAGTTCATGTTTTATTGCTACCTTCCTAATTTACTTAACTGTCCAATCATTTTTTGCATTTTCATCAAAATATAACCACAAAGGTCAAGTCGTCAAAAATATTTTTTGTGTCCAATGACGTTGGCCATTTTAGTACACTCAGACACACTGTGAACTAACTCTTAGTATCTGAAATAAATATTTTTTTAAACCTAAACGTTGTGCAAAAGTAAATTTATCTACC